TGTATTTATGCAAGATGATCCATTCCTTTCTCTCTGACCGCTATATCAGAGTACGAGTAGGTCCAACCCTTTCAATTCCTCACCATATAATAGCTGGTGTACCTCAAGGTGCAATACTATCTCCGACACTATTTAGCCTATATATTACTTCATTATTTAAAAATCTCCCTCCAAATGTTCATATTGCTGGATTTGCAGATGATCTTGGTTTAATTTCCTCTAGCAAATCACAAATAAAAGCGATAAATAGAACCTCAAACACCGCAAAACTAATCATTAGTCAACTAAAAAACCTCAAAATCAACGTAAATGAATCAAAAACCGAAGGTATTCCGTTTGNGCAAATCACAAATAAAAGCGATAAATAGAACCTCAAACACCGCAAAACTAATCATTAGTCAACTAAAAAACCTCAAAATCAACGTAAATGAATCAAAAACCGAAGGTATTCTGTTTACTCCGAAGAAGTGTATGATAACTTCCTTCAAAATTGGCAATAAAAATATAAAACTGTCAGATCATGTAAAATACCTAGGTGTAATAATTGACGAAAAATTATCATGGAAAAACCAAATAACTTCTGTTGCCACCAAGGCAAAAATCATTCTAGGAAGATTATACAATCTATTCAGAACCAAAGCCCTGTCGAAGTCAATAAAAATAAAACTATACAAAACACTGATACGCCCTGTAATGACGTATGCTTCCCCTATATGGGGACAGGCCGCAAAAACTCATACATTAAAATTACAGATAATACAAAATAAATTCCTTCGAATCATAAACAACCAAAACTTTAGAACCCGCATCACTGATCTGCACTCAATGTCGAATACAGAAACAATCGATGAGTTTACGACTAGATTAGCAAATAATTTTGAACTAAGTTTAGCAAATCATACAAATCCACTAATCCATGATCTGAATACACAAATACCTTCATTCTGGTCAAAAAGACCAAAAAGAAATGTAACACAAAAATTGTAACTCTCCTCCCACCCTCCTAAAACCTCCCCTCACACTCCTCCATCCCTCCCTCACCCCTAATCCCAACAAACTCGTACCCATTCTGCTATAGGGCTTTTTCACATAAAATGTTTTTCCCTATCGTATACCTTCGAGTCTCACTGTTAAATCGCTAATTTATTATAGAACCACTCCTTATTCTGAACATGTAAAAGCCATGCAGGCTGTGACTGTAAAAAAATGTGAATATTAAGTCTATACATTGTACAAAAAATGTAAGTACCCAAAAACTCTTAAATAAAAATTATGGTAATGGTAATGGTAGCTTAGTCGATAAGAGTGCCCGGCGCGTATCTGGGAGACCCGGGTTCGATTCCCGGCCGGATGAAGCGGAAATTTTTTCTCTCTAAATTCCAATTCTCTTAGAATTTCTAGTTCCCTTATACAGCCGAATGTTCGATTTTTCAAATATTTGATTCGCTTTCGAATATTCGATTTTTTTTCGTTTAATTCAAATTTTTAAGTTGAAACGAATGAAAAGTCGCAATTCCTCAGTAATGAAGAAAGACACTGAGGAATGAGAAATTACTGCGAATTGAATTTTTCTTGTTCGCAAGTTTTAAATGTGCGTTTCGCGTTATTATCAAGTTATCTAGCTCTTTTGGTAACTCAAAGATACTAATGAGTAATTAACATTCCAAATAGTTATCCTAATAGTGTTTCACTTTGTCTCAGTGTGTTCGCAATCCCGAAATTCGATCTAAAATTCCTGATCATCATATTTTTGAAATACGCGCTGAAATGATGGTAAGTACACAGTCCTTCGCTAGGTGGCAATACTGCTGCGATGAACGAACCAAAACAAACCGGCGTTTCTGATAGTTTCGAGTGGCTCGTTACTGAAGTGGTGCAGCATTTTTCACTCTTCAGATAGAACGTGACCCTAAAAAAAATAATCTACAAAACAGAATTGATCTTCAACTGAAAGTGATTGACATTCATGAATGAATGATGAGACTTTTGAGGAGCTCATCTGGAAATTCCTCACAATCTGAGGGACAATCGTCAGAAACTTCATCACCACATGTGCAGACGGTCAGCCTGTAGATTCAAATAATTATGGAGACAACGAAGAACATCCCCCACGAAATTCTAATGGCAGCCTAGCGTGGGATTGTTTTAGGAGAAGTACACCTGAGAAGGGGAAAACTACATGTATGGAGTGTTCTGCTGAGTTCAGTGTTCCCACAGGTAACGAACAATTAATTTATATGATCAGTCAAACACAATATCTTGAACATTTATCAGATTCTAACACCCGTAGTTTGCATTCTGTTCATAATATCGAGGTTATATTTATTGATTGATCAATAGGAACAACGACATGTTTGTTCAGACACCACGAGAAGAGACATGAGGAATTGTGGAAAGAATGTCAAGAAAAAAAACGTAAACGTGCTGAGGAGGGAACAGTTCCAAGGAAAAGACGTAAGAGACAAATAAATCCCGAAGAGAAGAAAAAGCTTGACAGAGCTGTGTTGGTGTACAGTCGAGCACTAAAGTTCGTGAACAACCTGAACTTGTATCTTATGTATTCTGTTCACGAACTTCAGTGTTCGACTGTATATGGCATTACATATGCGTCCATTTAATACCGTCCAAGGTCATGGGTTCAAAAGATTAGTTCATGCGATGAGGCCTGAGTGCACAATGCCGCATCGAACCACATTTTCACGACATTTGGGCCCCGATTTATATAAAGAAATCAAAGCTAAACTCGCGGAGCAAATGGCTGCCGACGTGAAAGAGGGATTGTTGAGCATTTCACGTACTACTGATGGTTGGACGGGTAGAAATGGTGGAAGTTACCTATCATTAACAGTACACTATCTGACTAAGGCATACCTTTTGAAAAACATAACAATTGGTATTCAACAAATTCAAACAGAGCATACGGGCGTCAATCTCAAGCAATGTTTGTCAGAAATGTTGAGTGAATGGAATTTACTTGATCTCCCAAATCTTACTACATTTTTCACCACAGACAATGCTCGTAACATTGCGTTGGCAATTCGTACAGGAGGATGGGAGAATATTTTTTGCTTCGACCATACCCTTCAACTCGCCCTCAAAATATACTCGAGGAGTGAATGAATTACTTGCAAAGGTAAGTTACATAAACACTAACTAAAAGGAAATGTTCTCGAAACAATTCAACATTCATTATTGTTCACAATGGATTCAAGGACCATCTCACTCATTTTGGAGATCTTCGTTTTTGGATTCATTAGTTAGATAAAAGTCAAAAAATATGTAGCTCTAAGAGGAAAAATGGGAGTCTTGTGGAGAATTTGTACGCATAAAAATTGTGCAATAACTCATCCCAACGATCCCAAGACATCTCCTGAAAACTAAAACTGAAGGAAGTTAACTTGGCTCGGTCATTCTATTTTCCATGGGACGAACCGAAGAATTAATTCTATTATTCACAGAATTGATTCGTAAATATTTTGCTCCTTAGATTGATAACGAGAATATTTTTAAAAAGCTATTTAGGAATTCATTTTGGTGGACATATGCTAAAAAACATTTGCCAGAGAATTCAAATGGATTTGATGTGAAAATTTCTTAGATTGCCGCTGTTTCGCCACAAAACAATCTTGATTTGATTCTAGCCAAGTTGTAAATTTGACTAGTTTGATTATTCAAAATTATTTTGGGGGAAACGTGATACGCCGAATGGGTTCTTTGTATCACTTATGAGTTGACGATACTTAAGAGAGGGATCAACGAGATGAGGAAAGATCGAGAACAACTGGAAACGTTAATAAATATTGACACGCACACACGATTTAATATTTAACAAATTAACAGTTTATTTTGATTCCGGATACACTTGGATTTTGTTTCGATGTTTACACTTTTAAGTTTAGATGAATACTAAATTTTGTTGTAAGATTTTTGCTGAGAGAGAATCGCAAAGATAGAAGGGAAAGAGGGAGTAGGTTAAGGGGATTATCGATGAGAATGGAAATGTCATTGGTCGAAAACTTGAAGAGGAGGGAGAAAATTCGACTGGAGAAAATAGGATGATTTCTATTGGCTTTTGGGACTGGAAAAACCCAGGCCTTTGTTCGGGTCAGTTGAGGGACTGAGAGAGGCTCGGTCTGCCTGGAAGGAGGGGCACATCTGGAAGGGATTAAGACAATTTTGTGGATTAGGACAATGTTTATGGAGGTGAATTTTGAGGATGGCACAAAATTGCCGCCAATAATAATAAAGGGAGCAAACTAAAACGATTGAGAATTCGACGAGGCAGACGGATAAAAATAAAAGTATTTGTTATGAGAGAAACGAAATTTTCGAGGATTTGGGAAAGTTTGGGAAATTTCTGTTAATTGAGTTTTTACAACTGTTTCGAAGAAATTGTTATACGTTTTTGCCCCAAGACGCGCCAAGCAATAAATGAAAGGAAAATTGAAACGAATGAATGGCGCGTTGAGACGTGTGTGAGGTGAAGGGATGGCTATTTTCTACAATTATTAATTATAATATAAAAAATATCAACTGCGTGTGTTGTCACGCAACATGCTCCCCCGTTGAGAGTTCGTCCGATCATCTGTAAACTATCTTACATCTATTTGTTTTTTACGGTGAAATATTGATTAAGAACAAATCATTGAATCATAAGAAAAAGAGTAATGTTTTGAGACATTAGATTCACGAGGTTTGAGATATTGTTCTAGAAACTAAAATATTAAATTTGAGAGATTGATATTCGAATAAATAATATTAAACGTATTTGGTTTAATAAAAATATTGAAATTATTCGATAAGACAAATTAATCGCGAGAAAATACAATAGCAAAAGAAAATGTTGGACTGAAATTTTACTCAGCTGGTAGTGGACACAATTTCTTGACGTTACGTTCGAAGATAACAGCTCGTTCCGTTCGAGGACACCAGGTCTTGACCTTGACCTTCCTGATGATATTGTCACTGCCTGAAAAGGCTTCCAGTACACGTCCCATGCGCTATTGTGATGGAGGAGCATTGTCATCTCGGAGTAGGACCAGAGAACCTTCCTCAATTTGGTGATTGCCATCGTTCCACTTGTGGCGAATCTGGAGTTCGTTCAAGTATTCATTTTGCCATCTGGACCAGAACTCTTGCTTGAGTTTCTCAATGTGTTCCCAGTATGACAAACGATTGCTTGGCGTATGAAGAAATTCTGGAGCTGGGAGGTCTCTGGTGGAGCTTCCATGTAGAAAGTGAGCCGGAGTGAGAGCAGTCAGGTCGTTAGGATCTGAGGACAGTGGAGTCAGTGGTTGAGAGTTCAGGATACCTTCTATTTTGATGCACAAGGTGTTCAGCTGTTGATGAGTAAGAAGTTCATTGCCAATGACCCTTCTTAAGTGATGCTTGAAAGATTTTACTGCGGCTTTCCAGAGACCGCCACAGTGAGGAGCTTGAGGAGGAATGAAACTTCATTGAATTCCATATTGAGTCACATGACGCTGAACCCTTTCCTTGTGCTCTTCTGCTTCTACCAGGGCGTAGAGTTCCTTGAGTTCGTTCTTGGCACCGACGAAGTTTGTACCATTGTCCGAATACATGGAATTACATGAGGGATGCCTTGAGATGAATCGGCTGAAGGCTGCCAGAAATTCATCTGTGCTCAGATCATCTACCACCTCGATATGGACTGCCTTTGTTGTAAAACAGACGAAGATGGCAATCCACACCTTGACCTTGCTACGATTTCGAAATTTCTTCTCTTTTATAAAGAGAGACCCACAATAATCCACTCCAGTATGCTCAAAGGGTTTTGCTAAAGTCACACGTTGAGCTGGTAGATTTCCCATGAGATAATTGACTGCAGGTAGTTTGAATCTGGCACAGGTCATACACTTGTTGATGATGATACGGATTTACCGACGTCCATCGATGGGCCAGTATTTTTTCCTCAAGAGATGTAGGGTTGTTTACGTTCCAGTGTGAAGATTGTCCAGATGAGTTGATTCGATAATCAGACGAGTGATGTGATGAAACGGGGATAGAACGATTGGATGTCTTTCGTCGAAGCTGATAGACTTGGCCTTTTCCAGTCGGCCTCCAACTCGAATTAAGCCGTCATCATCGATGAAAGGGTTGAGAGTGTGGAGTTTGCTTCGTTTGGTGACACATTCACCATTTTCCAGACGTTGAAATTCTTCAGAGAATACAGCTTGCTGAGTCAAGAGAAGAATGAGCTTGGAGGCTGTCTCCATCTCAGGAACAGTGAGGTAGCGATGAGTAACCTTGACTTCAGCACGGCGGTGAGGTGGAAGTGCTCGTCGTGCCTTATAGATAAATGACCATCGGAGTGCCAAGGCAACAAATCGGCGTAATCGAATGATGGAAGAAAATTTTGAAAAAAGAGGATTGTCTGGCATGATAGGCCTTCCGGGATTTGGAGACCTTGGGTTTGATGAAGATGTTGGAGATGTTGGAGATGTTGGAGACGTTGGAGATGTTGGAGATGTTGGGGATGTTGGGGATGTTGGAGATGTTGAAGACGTTGGAGATGTTGGAGATGTTGTAGATGTTGGAGATGTTGAAGCACTTAAGCATACAGTTCGTTTGATACCAGGCACTTCGTTTGATATCTAGACAGGAGTGAATGGCCAAGTGTCTTCTCCCCCAGTAAGCCACTGAGGCCCGTGTTGCCACAATGAATTTTGCATGAAGTCTACGGGAAGTTCTCCTCTAGACACGGCATCCGCTGGATTGTCGTAGGTGCGAACGTGTCTCCAGTCGTAAGGATCAGTTCGCTGTTGAATCTTTGCCACTCTATTGGCAATGAAGGTTTCGAGAATATGTGGAGATTTGTGGATCCATTGAAGTGTGATCATGGAGTCTGTCCAGAAGAACTCCCTTGTAGGCTTGATGTCTGTAGCTCTTTTCACGGTGGTGTAGAGGTCAGTGAGTATCTCAGCAGCACAAAGTTCCAGACGTGGAATTGTCTGTGAACTCTTCAACGGAATAATGCGAGATTTTGCACACCAGAGATGAATGTCGCTCTTTCCTGATGTGTCGACAGAACGGAGATAGATACATGCTCCATAGGCTTTTTCACTGGCATCTGAAAAGCCGGGAAGTTCAATAAATTCAGCGTTAGGAATGAAGATGTGGCGTTGGAAGCGGAGATCGTTCAGAAGAGGTAGCTGAGATGCGAAATCTCTCCATTTTGTGGAGACTTCGTGTGGTACGGAATCGTCCCAATCTAGCTTCAGTCTCCATAGCTCCTGCTGGATGATTTTCGTGTGCGTGATGACAGGATTGAGAAGCCCGAGGGGATCAAAAATGCGGGCAACATCAGAAGCAATCGTTCGCATCGTGATGACGTCCTTCGTAGCGATTGGGTTGACAGTGTAGACGATGACATCTTGCTGTGAGTCCCAGTGAACTCCTAATGTCTTCAGTTTCGGATCGGCCCCCCCGAGTAGCTTGAGATTTACAGTGCAATCTGGAAGTCCTTGAAGCACCATTGGAGAGTTTGAGGCACACTGTCGAAGGTTGAAACCTCCACAACGGAGAATTTCTATCGGTTCATCTCGGAGGTTGATCGTTTCTTCCAGAGAGTCAGCACCGCTCAATACGTCGTCGATATACAGATCTCGTTTCAGCAGCTTCGAGGCGAGGGGGAATTTTTCCCTTTCATCACCAGCCAGTTGATGAAGACATCGAGTTGCTAGATATGGAGCTGGAGCGAGACCGAAAGTGACCGTCTGGAGTTCGTATACGCTGACTTCTTTATCTGTTGGTTGGCATCTCCAAATAATACGTTGGAACTTCCTATCTTCGGGTCTGACGAGAACTTGTCTGTACATTTTTTCAATGTTACCCGTGAACACGAATTTAGGAAGTCGAAATCTCAGGACCAAGGAAAAGATATCGTCCTGGATAGTTGGGCCGATCATCAAGGCGTCGTTGAGGCTGAATTTGGTGCTAGACTTTGCTGAACCGTCGAAGACAACACGGACCTTGGTGGTCATGCTGGACAACTTGAGGACAGCATGATGTGGGAGATAGAAGCCTTCTTCTCTTTCATTCTCCACCTTCTTCATGTGTCCGAGCTGCTCGTATTCCTCTATAACCTTGGAATACTCCTGCCAAAGGTCTGGATTTGTCTTGAGGCGCCTTTCGAGAGAGAAGAATCTTCGTAGAGCTTGAGCACGAGAGGATCCCAGTTGATCCTTCAACTCATTGAACGGCAATGCTACCATGTACCGCCCATCTGGAGTGCGAGAGATATTTTCAACGAAGTGATTTTCACAGGCTCCTTCTGTAGGAGAGAGATGTCGTGGGGAAGAGATGCCATCTTCAATTTTTCAAAACTTTTTAAATTCGTCTATGATGCTGGTCGCGTGACAGTGGCCTTGAGGCGGTCCATCGTCTTGGATACTTCGACAAAGGGTCCATCCAAGTACAGTGTTCTGAGCGATGAGATTTGCTGTATGTGGAATTCTGCGTTGACCAATAGCTAACGTAGAGATGGAGTATCCAGTGCTCAGTAACAGTTGAACTGGTGACGGTTTGTGGAACTCGGGATCGGCGAGACAATTACGTATACTGTGAGGTATTTAAAGAGATTTCCTGTCAATCTGGTGAGCAGGAATAGACGATGAGATTGCCGGTATGGCCAAGAAATCGAGAGATCGTTCGAAATCGTTGTAGCGAGAACGAATAGTCGCAGTAACCCAATAGTTTGCGATTGTCGAGAGATCGTTGAGGGCACCGACCGATATAGAGCACTCAACCCTTGGGAGTTTTAGCCTTTCAGCTAATTCCGTGGTGATGAAATTCGTTGAGGAGCCAGTGTCCAGAAGCATACGGCACTGCACGAATTTACGAGAATTGTCGAGTATGTGAATTAAAGCAGTGGGGAGAATGTCATCACCTGGAATGTCTGCGCTGAGAGAGATGCGTTGATGAATTTGTTCGGAAGATGCCCTTGCTGGTTGTCAATTGGATATGCCTTGAGGATTGGAGGCTGTTTGGAGTACCTCTGGATCAGCTGATGTTGAAGTGCCTCCTCCGCTATGTCGATGTAGCATCGTGTGATGTTTTTTCCCGCAGATTGAGCATTTGCCTGATGCACAAGTGTTGTAACCATGTCCTTTTCCTAAGCAGTTGAGACAGCGATTATCATTAAGAGCAAATTTATATCTTTGCTGTTGCTCCATCTCTTGGAACTTAGGACATTGATAAATATTGTGATCACTCTGGCAAACAGGACACTTTCTCTGGACGTTGGCGTGAAATACTTGCGTAACTGGCGTACTCTTCTGGACAGCTGCAGAATTCGTTGCAGAGGTAGCGGATGATTGAGATTTCTTTTTCTTCGAATTACCCTTTGAATTGGATTTTTCGACAACTTCTTTGGCTCTTACAGTTCTTGCAGATTCAGTAGACTTCACACATAACCCACGACGTTGTAAGAAGTCGAGAAGTTCGTTGACATTTGGCATTTTGTTGTCAACTAAATCTCTTTCCCATTCATATATTACTTCATCACTCGGGACACGTAAGATGATTGTGATGAGGAATGCATTGTACTGTTCTTCTTTGTTTGCCAGAGAGTCCAATGGCCGTAATTGTGAACGGACAGCATTGACGATTGAGAGGAGCGTGCGAGAAGAGTCTTTGTTTTTGTACATATCTAATAGGATTGTACAATGGCGTCGAAGAATTAAACGAGGGTTGTTGTAGTTTTGTTCGACGAGATTCCAGGCAATGTCGTAGTTCTCTTCCGTGATGTCCAAATCCTTGATGGGATCGTGGGCTTCGCCAGTGAGGCAGGATTTGAAATATTGAAATTTAGTTACCTTCTGGATCTTCCTGTTATCGTGAATGGCAGCTTTGAATTCATCGCAGAAACTCCGGAACTTCTCAAAACTACCATCGAATTTAGACAATGTGAGTTCGGGCAGTTTAGCAGTAGTTGAGTGAAGTCGATCCTCGGAATCATGGGAATTATTTGGACGAGCTGATGATGTAGACTGAGCTGATCTCTGATTGATTATGTTTTTCAATTCATCAGCAGTTTTGAAATAGCTTTCCATGATATTTTCACCTTCGTTGAAATGTTCTTCTTCGTGGGCTGCATCTAACAATAAGAGATGTGTCTGGTCACTTTCCCACTCAGAGTATTTGGCGATGAGGTCTACAAGTTTCATGTCGAGTGTTTCCAAGAGTGCAGTTTTGACATCCTCACCCTTCAGCCAATTATTCAATTTGGTTAATTTGGCTTTGAAACATCTGCGCTTTCTCTTCAAAGATTCGGCACTCGCAGGCATGATTCTTTCTCTGGATTCGGAGCGTTGAAAGAGAGTTTTACAATCCTGATATTTACTGGTAGATGTTCAGAGTTTGATATTTTTGAACTTTTTATTTTACTCAAATTTTCTTTCCCCAGATCAATTATTTACATGTAATTACTGAATTATTATCACCGTTCTGATTACTCTTATTAGCACGATTATAGTCATATAACCATGCAAAGATGAATTTTTGCAAAAATCTCTCGGCGAAAGACTGAACAGGGGATGAAATGTGATAGGCAATGAGCATTGCAAAAAACAATAAAATAATAGAAAAAGGACATCAAAGTTTTAATGTCATGGATGACAAAATGCTGACACCGAAGGTCTATCGAAAAAAGAGAAAAAATTACAGAAGCGTTGATTCTCGTAGTCAAAATGAAATTTTGAAATTGAGGCTAGATAGGCAGTTTTCCCTTCAGTTTGTTGGGAAGAACCCGATCGACTATCTAATAGTCCCGCGGACTATTTACTGTGAACTATTCTGTGACATTAATGTCAATATCAGGTGTTCGAAAGCCGTTATCTATTCAACTGCTTATTCTTTGAAAAGTTGTAGGTTCATCAAGATTATTCAATGTTAACAAAGGACCTCTTTATACAGAGTCAAAAAATTTTAATTATGTTCAAATGGAAGAATAGAGATTACGCTACAAAGACTTGGTAACTCTTCAAAAAATTGTAGAGAAAAAATAAATAAATAAAAAATATGAGTAGAGGACGTTTGGATGTATTGAAACTCTATATAAAGGAGTTCAAATAGGATCAGAACCCATTATATGTACGGGCATATCATCCCACAAAATTATTCATGTTCGTTAGAAATGAACCTTTAATTCTTTGGAGAATCGTTAAAAATTTGAAAAACAAGAAAGGTCGATTAGAGGCCAAGGAAGCCCATGAAATCAGGGATTCTACTTACTACAAGGCAATTCTCTCAAGGTAAAGAGAGTTCCAATTGACTGGATGCAATCTGAGAAACGCTTGGATTAAAAACAAAGGGAAGAGAAATCGTTGTTTTTTTTTTTTTTAATAACTGTTGATACTGTTCATTGGTTTTGCTAAGAGTCATATGAGGCCCTAGCTTCAAAAGAAGCTGCAAATTAATTGAAAAATTTCTGAAAGAATACAGATGAGTTCCACTGGGGAGAAGAAAAATACGTCGATTTTCAGTTTTTCAATTGTAATAACGTATTTTATCAATTGTTAGGCATATAATAAGCCGAGGAGTCAGGGCAATGGCAGCAGCCTCTAATAAGGCGAGAGTGGAGGGTTTTACTAAATATCTTATGGATCCCCAGAGGAACAATCATTGAACAAAATAGGGAGTGTAAATAAATAGATAGATACCCAGCTTACACTTCAATATTGAGTATCACTTGCAAAAATGGTCAATGTGATACGACTATGAGTCTAGATGTTTTGACATCTTTTATAATTTTCTATTATTATCAATAACATTATTATTATGATTTTTATGTTTTGTAAATTATGGAGGATTTTCAATCGGGATTAAAAGTATCTACCTGTTAAGTATCTGAAATCACTTCTCTATTGGAGAAATTCTTCAAATTTAGCACTAATTTGTAAGGCAAAGGAGGCCAACCTCCGAAAAATCCCAACGTTTAGCTAAATTAAGACAGAAAAATCTGACAGCTGCATTATTAGGTTAATATGAGTTGTCTGTGATCTCTTTTCTGAATCAAAATTTTCATTGGAGAAGATGAAATCTAAATGCTTTTTTGATGTCATCTTAAAAAATTCCGGCATAAGCATTTAAGTCTGGGACTTGAATAATGTCCTTATGTTGAATACATTTTAGGATATCATACTCACCATTTTCATTCAAATTTTTCAATAGTTTTGCTAAATTTGAGTCCAAAAAGCAATTTTTTCAAGAATTATCTAGTTATGTTGATGTATAATATCGAAAGGGAAACATTTAAGAATATTGTTCTTACTTATTTTGACCTTTCGATTTTTTAACAAATAGATGAAAAACATTCTTCCTATCAGTTCAAATCTGCAGATTCCCTGCTTGAGAACGTAATTTTATACTGAAAATCGTTTTTCTCTAAGAACAACATTGCAAGAAAAAATTTTCAACACTAGTGAAACATCCATTGTATTAGAAACAAAGTTCAGGACTAGCCCTGTAATGCCTCACTTTTCCAAGGATTCAATTAGAAAACATAAAAAGATCGTTTAAATTAATTTTGTATTCGTAATTTGAGATACCTCAAAAATATATATCTCTGAATGAATGCTCATTCCCATAACTTTGCGTTATAGTTCAAAATCATAATGTTCAATCATGATTTGTATGTATTCATTCATTTCATTATTTGTTATTATTATATTGAATTTTTTTAAATATTTTTTTTATTTATTATTCCTTCCTGAACAAGATTCAGATATAATAACCGATTTTGTGAGTTTTAGATGATAAATGAAGTTTTCATCGGTTTTAACAATGAAAGACTACCCTCAAAAAAAAATTTATGGTCAAAATTGACTTTTATTTTATTGACTTTTATTTTATTTTCAAATTTTCCTTTTTTTTTTTTTTAACAAAAAACGTGAATCTTCGACTAAGATTCAAATGGGAATATTTTGTGATAAAATAATCGAGAAATTCTGTGCATATTTCAGATTCAACCAAAACATTGGGTGTATCGATTCAAAAAACTAATTTTTAATTCAAAAATCCCTTTTTCTGAACTGTTCATGGTGAGATAAGACAAAATTCAATTTTGTAAAGAACAGCTTTGTCTCTCAATATATATTAATATTAAATACTATATATATGTATATATATATATATTTTTATGAATTTTTAATATTCACCTAATTAATTTAAAGATAATAGTTCATAATGGATTTATGCAAAAAAAAGAAAATTGCCACCTCTGACATAATTTCAAGGTTGAGTAATTTTCTCAAAAAATCATTTAATTTTGAAGTGGAACTGTTTTACATATTTGATGTCTGGCAGTTTCAGCCTTTTTACAGTTCTAAGGATCTTTGAGCTAAGCCCATTCCGTTTGAGAAAATGCACATTGGCTTTGTGAGGGATATATTTAAATAATGTAGAATTATGTTCTCATATTTTCTGTAAATCACTGATTATTCAGTTATGTTAGGAGCTATTTTGAATTGCATTCTAAACTTTGAATTGCTCTCTAAACTTGTGGCTCAATCTGCATGATCAGCGGTACTACCAGTAAATATTAGGATTGTAATACCGAGAACGAGACTGAAATATAATTGCTTCATGAAAACACTTTTGGAGATTCCAAGAAAATATACCGAATTTATTGTGTAATGTTCTCGTGAGTGAATCAACTACCATTACTCTTCACCTTGAAAAAAAATTAAAAAAATAAAGAACTCATATATAATTAATTGATGAAATTATTCCAATGACTTTCCCTAGGCCAGACGTATTGCTACACATTTCCATCATTCTTCTACTGCTCAACGAAAGCTTGATGAGGCTCAGATAGCCTCAAATGAGAATCCACGACCACTGCATTTGATACAAATGGTGGAGACTAGATGGAACTCGGAATATCTGATGTTTGAGAGGATGGAGCGACTTCAAGCACCTTTGTCTCAGGTTCTGGCAGATGATGACGGTATTGACAACTTCACAGGACGAGAATGGAAACGAATCAAAGAATTGATCCAGGTCATGGCACTATTGTATGAAGCTACGGTAATCGCATGTGGGAATACATATCCTACTGTTTCGATGATCATTCCGTTGATCAATGGAATTAAAACTCGCTTGAATACAATTATTTCCGTTGAGTCAATTACTACATCCATGAGCAAAAATTTTTCTAAAATGATTGTTGAACATCTTGATACCAGATTCGCTACGATTTCATCAGAAACATTTTATCAGAAGTGTAATTTCATCGACCCACGATACAAGAATTTTTTTCTCGAAGAAGACGATTTGAAGGTGATTCAGGAGGAGTTAAGTGATGAGATTACGGAGTATATCAGTCTCACATCAGAGGAAAATCCAATGCCGTCTACTAGCAATGAAATTTCAGCCACAGCCAATCGTGAGGATAGGTTCCATTCTTTCCCCAAGTGTCCTTTCCATTAACTTTATCTCATCAAGCTTATTTTTGTCATAATTTGTTGCAGGTGTTTTCAGTAGACGTCCAACTTTGTTGGACTTCATACGTAAATCAAATACGAAACAAAGCGAAAGAGGCGACAGGGAACTATCTCAAGAAGTCGAAAATAAAATGATAGCATATTTATATGGAGGTCGCCTTAATTTATATGGAGATCCAGTATTGTGGTGGAAGTCCGAGGCCTCAAAGTATTCTCACTTATCCTTGATGGCACGCAAATATCTACCAGTCCCAGCCACTTCGGTAGAGAGCGAACGTTTATTCTCAACAGCTGGTGATATTTTCAGCTGGTGTCTCATAACAGTTGGTTACTCCGCTATGAAAATGATGAATTCGACGTCAAACTCATTATTATTAACCTGAATTAAGATGTTGAGAGAGCTGTGAATAACCAGATATACCAATAAAACAATTGATTTCCAATAACCATTCTAAAAACCTCTTTCTATACCCCGTTGAATTTTGGACGAAAAACGTTAAATAAAATTACTCCTGAAAACGTGAAGTATCAGGAGTAAAACTCAATTGTTGTCTCAATTTTATTTTTCGCCAACATGGTGCTGAATGAAGAAATCCTTGGTATTCCAAATATTCAACCACTAATAACATTTATTCCATTCTAACTGCAGAAAAATATGTTTTCTAGTGAAGACTGCCATGTCCCCAAATAAAAGAACGTTTTAGAACATGAGATTTTTACACCTTAGAATTTTTAGAATAATTACTATACTATTTCTCGCGCCGCAGGCAAGCTGCCTTACACTTCCGACAAATGTTAAAATGGTTAGAGAAGGTGATATAATCTTTGATATGCATTTTTTT